CTCAGTTTACTCTTTTCATATTGGAAAAGCAAACATTACTATATTCGATTGACCGCCTTCAATATGTCCAGTTGTCAAATACGATCCTCGAATCTTCCACGGGGATCCTGACAAACGTGTCCTCTATCTCTGTTAATGTGACACAAAGCTAATCATGCCAGCACCCATTAACCAAATAATACACGTGGCGAGAGCACTAGTCAAGACGGTGCCGGTTAATTTGTGGTAATTGGTTTTTAAATTTAATCTATCTCAGTATGCTTTGTTTTTGTTTTCAGACACGCTTGGGTTTCAGGGTCATTTCTTTTAGCCTTGCCATTGGGTGCTCTTTACCCACTTTCCTTCATCCGTCTCTTGAATCTCGCATTTTTAAATGTTTAGTATACCTTATTGAATTAAGTTGTCTTCAGAGGAGGTGACTGATCATTTTCAAATCAGACTCCAATTTCTCAAGTCTAATATCATTGGTTGAAAACGGTGCAATCGAAACGTTGTTTATTTTTCAACACACGTCAGTGGAAACATATCATACCGATGATAAAGTAACCGGCATGTTCACATAGAGATTCTGTTCCTGGTCAGAAATAGTTTCACCGGTGTCAAGTACGAGAGAGTCCACTCTGATGCAGAATCCGGCTCCCTTTGATTCGTATACATACCCACTGTCCTAGATTTTGAGCCACGCGTGTTAAGATTCTTCATGGTATGTTACCACTTCATAGGATTTTACTGACAAATCTACTTCATAGGGTAAAATGCGACTTCATCTTCACTTAAGATAGACTTTCTGTTACAAGAAACTTTCTGACAAGAAACGCCACTTGACTATGGTGAAATACCCAATACAAAGAATTATAAAAAGAGGGCATATGGACCGAGTTTTACCTATAGTAAACCATAAGAGAGGATAATAATAATAATAATAATAATAATAATAATAATAATAATAATAATAATAATAATAAAAGAAAATAAAAAAACGATTACCTGTATGCTTGGGTAAAAGGAACGTACAGTACGTAACATGAAAGACGAAAGATAGTCGAGGACAGATAATTGAAGTTCTGACAAATCCAAGAGATTTTAATTTGTAAAGATGCATCACACGGCTAATAAGTCACGTGCATTGAATTATCAGCGTGAGCGTTAAATAAAGATAGACAAATCAAATCAATGAGTAAACTGCATGCATATCCCGTTGTATAACAAATATGACCTTTCTCACTGTTTTAGCTCGCGTGCGCTGTTGGTTACCTGTAATATATCTTAATGATTACAAAGTTCTACGTCATTGTCGCTTAGTGAAATGACAATGAAACGAAATAATATCCGCCCTTTATTTCCTCGGAATAATGAAGATCTTCTGTGAAATGAGATACCTACATATTTTATAAGCTCTTGATAAAAAGAAAAACAATAATTCAAATATGTGAAATGTTTTATTTTTGGGATTGATAGTAAAAATAACAGATTAATTTTAAATAAAAAAAGGAAAAGACATGGAAGAAGACATCTGGCGTTAAAGCATCCTGCTTTTTGTTTGCACCTCCCATTTAGGGCATTTGAGATTGTTCAACAGAACTCGAATACGCAGGACCAGTATCTCCACACAAAATAAAGTTCGGTCCGAAAACCTGATGTCACCAACTGTTATATCAATTCAGTTGTGAAATTGATAAATTAGATCAATGATAGAAGAAAAAATAAGTTATCAGAAAATCCGGAGTGGCCTTAATATGAATGGATTAAGAATAGGGGTGTTGGCTGGATCAAGTATAATACTGACAACTTATTAATTTCACGTAGGGACTGGACGACGGTGCAATTGCGTTAGATGTGATCTTCATCTCACTTAAAACATTAACAACCCGCGGTTTGTATTGCTGTGTAGTAAGTTATCTTATACGCTGTCGGTAAATAATAAACATTGTGCAAAATCATACCGAAAATATTTATTATTGTGGTACAGGGACCAAAAACTCTTACCTAAATCAAGAGTGTTCGCCGATGAAGTAGAGTTAAGTACTGCGTGAGTGGAACAAAATGACACTGAAACGAGGAGATACATATCCTTTGGCAAACATTGATATCAGATGTAATTTAATATGTTTTTTAATCTAGGACACGCCTTAGATTATTTGACACGCTCAGATAGTGCTTTGACACTGGGTATCATATCCTCTATACAGCACTAGTGTACTCAAAGGTAAAAGCTTCCTTCTGAGCGGGACGCTGTAATAATTTTACATATTTGGAGTGCATCTCAATACCACATCCGATTGATCAGTTGTGTGGTAGGGTGCGACAAGACAGGGGACTTCTTTACCCGTCCCCTTCACCGCTCCCCTCCGCGCACACATACACGCGCGAGCGCGCGCACACACACACACACACACACACACACACACACACGCTTGAATATTTATGAGCTGATTGTATTGTAAAAACATTAAACATATTTGTGTGGCTCAGAAAGGAATCCTTTTTACATGGCAATTAGTCTACCATTATGTCAACCGGGGTGGTACCAGCATACGATCAACTAATCATAAGGCTTTAACATAACAAAACTCGACACTAAAATAAGCAGCACATTCTCAGCATTTATATATGTGAATTTTACATTTGTATTAAGTGTAATATCTCAATGAATCTGGAACATGTAGACTATTAATAATACTGCACAGTAGCCATAAATCCACAAAAAGAATGACATAACCTAAAGTGTTTCGCTGAACACGCCCACTTTCAAACATAAAAAAGGGTCCGCGTCGGTAAAAAAGGGTCAATATTATTTCAATTGATAAATAAACTGGAGGCAAAATACCGGTTTCCCTGTGCACACAATCAGAGCGTTGCGTCACTTGATCCTCACAGTTTCAAGCACAACAATCAACATTGTGAAGGACTATTATATATGCTGTACTTGGATCGGCGTTAAAAAAAGGTCAGGTAGCGAGCTGTAATGCTGCACGCATCTGTGAGCTGCCCTCAAAATATAATAGTCTTCGCGGCAATATTTACTGCTGACAAAAGGTGTTTATGTGATTTGCGGTGACAGACTCTGGAGCGTTTTCTCTGTAGCATTATTAATACAAAACTGTATCTTGGATTAACACCCACAGTGGATTTCACCTGGGCGCAAAGCAGAGGCTACAGTGCGACAAATTTCTCAGCGCAGATTGTCTCGGTTGTCGGTGCTTATGCGTGAACTCGTAAACGAAAGGTCGTCTGTGAGGGGTCGAGCCGAACTCTACCTGTATTTCTCGAGCTAGGTTGCTACACGGTGTCACTCACGTAGCAGACAACCCAGCCAGACGCAAACCGCAGCGCTTCACTACAGCGTCACACCTGAGTTATTTATTTATCAAGGTAAGTCGTACCACGTCGCATTCTCATATCAGCACCGCCTAATCATTTCCAGTATTTTGTTAATATATTTTGTCAGCTCATTTCGCTACTTAACACGAAACATAGGTGATACAGGCAGTGTAAACATCGTAGCGGAGACGCAGGAGGGTGAGTATTTACCTTTAGAATCGGTCGGTTTTACGACCTACTTTTTTTTATAAAGAAGAGTATGTGTGCATATTTCCATTTTAAATACATTCTGTTAATATGACTACGAGATATTTTGAGTGGAATAAATCAGACAGATTTGTATGCAAACAACTCATACAGGTAAGGCTTAACATACCAACAGTTCTCAGATGACATTTGAGCATCTCTGAAAGAGTGGAGACCAAGGAATTGGTAAAAGCCGTTAACTTGAGCGTCTTCAAAAATAATCAAGATAGATTTAATTCTAGTGACTCGTTTTATGTACATTTGACAACATTCACGTTGTGAGAACGACCCACAATTCGCGAGTGTTTTCCCAGGCAGGGGTTTCACCACTATTTTCCTTGACCAGGTCGTAAATGACGGCCTGAGGACCTTGTTAAAGTGGACAGTACACCTCGGTATCAGTCCACGCTTGATGTTCTCACAATATGACACACATAAATAGCTGTATAAATCCATAACAACCACGCACTATCATCACAGGTCCGTATTGTAGAATTGTATAATTGTCGGTCAGATGTGGGTTAATTAATCACTTAGGCATTTAATCGTGGCTCATTATGTAGATTGGCATTTAGTTATCAACTATTTTAATCTGCCCCATTTGCTTTTACAATTAACATTGACTCGGATAAAATAATCCTGGATGAATTCGTGCTGTAACTTCGCAGCACGAAATTCATGCTGAAGGTATCGAATTAGCACATGATAATAGACTGAACGCCACTTCATCGTAACCCGATTCATACAAAGCCCAAGTGATTCTCCTAGTGCTACTAAATTTCCAGTTTATGGTTTTCTTATCAACCGCCTTTTTCATCTCAAATAAAATATTGGAACTGTACCTGTTAACATGAGACTTGGGATTAATAAATCCATCCAAGTATAAAAAAGATAAGCAAATAAGACAAGCTTGCAGACTGATACAATATATGAAAACGAGTTTTCAGACAAGGACCCTCATTGTCTTTAATCAAGGCACGTACACTCAAGGCTGTGTATTGAAGCAGGTATTCCTCATTTTGATTTGGATAAGGACTTACAGTGTATATTAATCATGTGACGGACTCATGACAAGCGTTGTCTTAATTTCAGATATCCAACAATAAATCATGACAGGAGGGAGAGAACTCCGTGAACTCCTGGACGGGAAGAATGACAACTGGCGGGAAAACCTCGACGACCCGGCCTGGTCCGAGTGGCTGCCTGCCATGATTCCGTCCACTCTCCGCGCCTGGTTTCCCATGACCGAGGACAACCTCATTTACCACACCCTATGGGAGGAGGAAGAACTACGCCAGCGCCCAAACTACAAAAGTTACTACTGCGACAGCGTGAGGGAAAGTCTACGCGGCAACAGATGCGGGATTTTTGAGCTGGGTATCAAGATTGGGGACACATACGCGGCGGTCTACCTCGGCTCCACGCTNCTGTATCTTGGATTAACACCCACAGTGGATTTCACCTGGGCGCAAAGCAGAGGCTACAGTGCGACAAATTTCTCAGCGCAGATTGTCTCGGTTGTCGGTGCTTATGCGTGAACTCGTAAACGAAAGGTCGTCTGTGAGGGGTCGAGCCGAACTCTACCTGTATTTCTCGAGCTAGGTTGCTACACGGTGTCACTCACGTAGCAGACAACCCAGCCAGACGCAAACCGCAGCGCTTCACTACAGCGTCACACCTGAGTTATTTATTTATCAAGGTAAGTCGTACCACGTCGCATTCTCATATCAGCACCGCCTAATCATTTCCAGTATTTTGTTAATATATTTTGTCAGCTCATTTCGCTACTTAACACGAAACATAGGTGATACAGGCAGTGTAAACATCGTAGCGGAGACGCAGGAGGGTGAGTATTTACCTTTAGAATCGGTCGGTTTTACGACCTACTTTTTTTATAAAGAAGAGTATGTGTGCATATTTCCATTTTAAATACATTCTGTTAATATGACTACGAGATATTTTGAGTGGAATAAATCAGACAGATTTGTATGCAAACAACTCATACAGGTAAGGCTTAACATACCAACAGTTCTCAGATGACATTTGAGCATCTCTGAAAGAGTGGAGACCAAGGAATTGGTAAAAGCCGTTAACTTGAGCGTCTTCAAAAATAATCAAGATAGATTTAATTCTAGTGACTCGTTTTATGTACATTTGACAACATTCACGTTGTGAGAACGACCCACAATTCGCGAGTGTTTTCCCAGGCAGGGGTTTCACAACTATTTTCCTTGACCAGGTCGTAAATGACGGCCTGAGGACCTTGTTAAAGTGGACAGTACACCTCGGTATCAGTCCACGCTTGATGTTCTCACAATATGACACACATAAATAGCTGTATAAATCCATAACAACCACGCACTATCATCACAGGTCCGTATTGTAGAATTGTATAATTGTCGGTCAGATTTGGGTTAATTAATCACTTAGGCATTTAATCGTGGCTCATTATGCAGATTGGCATTTAGTTATCAACTATTTTAATCTGCCCCATTTGCTTTTACAATTAACATTGACTCGGATAAAATAATCCTGGATGAATTCGTGCTGTAACTTCGCAGCACGAAATTCATGCTGAAGGTATCGAATTAGCACATGATAATAGACTGAACGCCACTTCATCGTAACCCGATTCATACAAAGCCCAAGTGATTCTCCTAGTGCTACTAAATTTCCAGTTTATGGTTTTCTTATCAACCGCCTTTTTCATCTCAAATAAAATATTGGAACTGTACCTGTTAACATGAGACTTGGGATTAATAAATCCATCCAAGTATAAAAAAGATAAGCAAATAAGACAAGCTTGCAGACTGATACAATATATGAAAACGAGTTTTCAGACAAGGACCCTCATTGTCTTTAATCAAGGCACGTACACTCAAGGCTGTGTATTGAAGCAGGTATTCCTCATTTTGCTTTGGATAAGGACTTACAGTGTATATTAATCATGTGATGAACTCATGACAAGCGTTGTCTTAATTTCAGATATCCAACAATAAATCATGACAGGAGGGAGAGAACTCCGTGAACTCCTGGACGGAAAGAATGACAACTGGCGGGAAAACCTCGACGACCCGGCCTGGTCCGAGTGGCTGCCTGCTATGATTCCGTCCACCCTCCGCGCCTGGTTTCCCATGACGGAGGACAACCTCATTTACCACACCCTATGGGAGGAGGAAGAACTACGCCAGCGCCCAAACTACAAAAGTTACTACTGCGACAGCGTGAGGGAAAGTCTACGCGGCAAAAGATGCGGGATTTTTGAGCTGGGTATCAAGATTGGGGACACATACGCGGCGGTCTACCTCGGCTCCACGCTGAGACATCCAAAGAGGAATTACACGGATGCCTTACGCCACAGAATAGAGGAGTTTTTACAAAATTCGAAAAATCCAAAGGCTAAAGAAATTGAGGCCGCCCTTTCGTCACAGTTCGCGTTGTACGTGCGGTATAAAGAGATAAAGAAGCCCGAGGGGGATGTGACTACGAATAAGGACGAGAATACATGGGCTGAAAATGCAGAGAATGACTTGCTGGATTCTTACGACTATGCGTGGAATGTCAGACGGAACGGAAAAAATGAGTCGCGTGTCATATCGGAGTTGCAGAAGACAAAATGTTAGCCCATGCGACTTTTTTTAAGTAGAAGAAGCCACAAGACAATATGCAACTTAACCGAATATAAAATATTATGGCTTATCAGATATCAGTTGACGTTTTGTGCGAGTTAACAAATGAACATATTTTAGCAGACGGCATTTCAATGCTTCGCCTCTCAAAAAACAGCTTAGAAGTACAGCAGACGATAAAATCTTTCGTTGTCATGCAGTTTTTCAACCTACAAACCTATGGTTTAACAGAGGGACATATGGAGACTCAGCAAACGACTTAATAATAAATGATCATTTCAACAGAGAAAAGACCGCAACAAAGCAGACGACCAAAGCATTTGCATGGCGGTATTCATTATATTTCAATAAAACATGCTTGCTTGATCTAATGGAAAATGACATATTTGATGATCCGGATTACGCGTATACTGATATACATTTTACACCTTGATCAGTGAATTTTGTCTCTCTATGCCGTGGGTAGTACAGCAAACAAACCCAAAACTGATCCGTCTGTTGATACAAGCGAAGGATCGTATGGCCGCAGATATAAATATTTCATAGCCTAGATTCTCAAATTGCATTCCTAGCGTGACCAACAAGTATAACATTACTTGAAGAACATATCACGGCAATATTATTATGCAACGTTAGCCTTTAGGCGCGCATTTCGAGTGCGATGGTTTTCCTGACACGCCGTTTCGATTTAACAACAAAATGCGTCATTTAAACTTGAGAATGCACAATAAATTGCGCCAGCTCTTAGGTGGGTGGAGTCTTTTGGAGCCACTACCACGACCAGTTATGCGAAGATATTATACTTGCAAAAATAAAGTTTTCATTCTATGAGTATTGGTGGTGCTTTCAGAGACAGTAGTGTTTTTTACGGTTATCGTACTTTTATATTATTCTAATTTATCCCCACGTTAAGAAAATTACATAGCAAAAGAAAATTGGCTGTATGGCATCAGTATTTTTTACAAACTTAAGTCAAAAACTGGTCATATCTCTAAGATCAAACTATCTGGCCAAGTTCAATTAAGGACATGTCTAACTTAGCGACTTACTAAAACATAAAGAGTCTCTTGTGCATACGAATCGATCGAGCATCGGTGGAGCGTGGATTCCCAGTAACACATGTAAACCACTTCTACTAGATTCTTATATGACTCAAATAAATTCGACATGACAAGGGATAAAATGAATAGATCACTCGATCGGCCATAAAAAGACCTTTAGACTGCTGCTTTCTTAAAATTTTTGGTTATAAATTTAACCTACTTTCGTGACCTACTTTTCTGCCCCATTGACATACAGCTTAGACTGCCAGCAGAAAAAACCGTTCAAACATCATTTTCGGGTAAAATTAAGCAATGCCTTTTGGTAATTCTCTTAGTTATACTACTTGAAACTATATGCTGGCATTTGGTTGGTTTTTGTGACAAAAAATTGACTTTGCATCTTTAAAATGTGGTCCCCCAGTGGACAACAGTTAATGGATCCAAAGTAGTCCCAATTTTGTATCTTGGAGGGGATCAACCATGTGTCCAGTATGCTCATATAGTTGCATTGTATATAATTTATTTTCGATTCAAAACAGCAACGCTTTACATGTACAGGACATCAATTTTATAAATCTCATCGTTTTGGCCAACATTTCTGTCATCCTCTGAATCATTCATAAAAATACTTAACAATAAACAAAACCGAAATATCCCAAAACTTAACAATCTTTTTTGAGCAAAGATGTTATATTAAAGCATCCCTCCAATATTATATCAGACGTGATTTTGGACGTACAAAAATGTAGGAAAAAATGAGTCGGTGGCCTTACGGCCGGGGTCTAGGGCCGCTTGGCGGAATACCTTAAAATAAATAAATAAATAAATAAATAAATAAATAAATAAATATAGAATTTCCCATTTAAATGGGGGGAAATCATGTCTGATATATACAGTTGATAACACTATTTTGTGAAATACTTTTGTGGCATGTTAAATTTACTGCACCTTTATGTCATAAGTATTACGCACGGTCCGCTGTGACAACTTCATTCTTCGAGATCTAGTTCCATATCATCGAAATGTCCTCTTTTTCCAATGATTGCATTTATGAAAATTATTGCACAATAATAAAATGTCTTCTTGACTTCCAACAACTCAACTGATATGTTCACCTTTTTAAAATATTTATATCGTTAAATAATTGCAGTTTTTGTCATAATGGAAGCCAAGTCCTTTCTGAAGATGACGATGGTGATGGTAACCTTGACAACGGAAAATGTGCCATGAAAACAGCGTTTTCCAGGTCCAAACTGGCCGTTGCATGAAAGCCTATATTGGTGATGACAACTATGTACTCGCATAGTGCAAACAAAGAGTACACTGAAAATCAGAAAAAAGAGTGTCACCATAAAAAATGCTTAAAGCATAAATTTGCAGAATATAAAAACAAAATTAAAAAAATGGACGTAGTTTTCTGTTTGAACAATTCCAATTTAATACTTTGATTATAAATTTAACATTTTAAATTTGAGACTTGGCATGTAAAAGGTATGTCAATACATCGTCCGGAAAAACTACAAGTTGTTGGAAATAATGACCCGTCTGGCACCTTTCCTATGTAAGAATAAAAAGCCATTTCGTTTCAGTTTGTACAATTTTATTACGACAAAACTGGTATTTGGTTATACCAAACAGCTGTATTCTTTTTTATAAAATACCACATCTATCAAAAAAGAGAAAAAAAGATCTCAGTATTCTGCAGTGTACGTAAACACATACTATTACTAGTAATAAACCCCTTGTTACACCGAGCTGCCGACCGCTTGAAGAATGAATTTTTCCCCACACCTTAAATTTGGGTTTTGACAATAATTGATGATCATCATCGTATTTATACATATGCATTGATGAACTTTTAACATTTCAGCTTGCATATTTGAAAGAGTGGGTCAAAATTGGTCGTCTTCAAGTGGTGGCAAGCCCAATGCTAGAAGCACACAATCAACAATCTTATGAAAAATAAAAACGTCCTCAACTCGATATATAACTGCCACGTAGTCATAGACAATATAGGTGATCTTGATCTATCCTACTGTCTTAATATACTGACATTTCAATACTGTTTTACCACTTCATTACAACTTTATCAAAAATAGTGAGAAAGATCACAATGCAAACAAAGTTAAATGTTGACAGGATATAATCCCCATAAATGGCCCACTTTGATCATTTTCAACCAAAAACAATATCGACTCATTATTTCCATCTTCTTCACAACACAGCACAAAAACACATTTTAGATTAATCTATACAATTCCTCTAGCCTGAGAGAAAATAATTGTTTTTTTCTTTTCACAAAGGGTTTTGTGTATTTTGTCTGTTTCAAAAGATTTCTTTTATTTACAAGATTACTACTCTTAAATTCATTTTTATGTATAGAATGCACATTAATCATTAAATTGCTATAAGATATTCTGACACAGATAAATTATTCTACACTAAGTCTAGTCTCCCTCGATGGAAACATCCATTTCAGTCTTAATATCACACTATATCACAATCATATCAATAAATACTGGTCAAAAAAGTCACTGTCTATGCCATCTTCTCTGATCTTCCACTCATACTAATGGGTGCTACATAAACTTCATGTTCCCCAAAGTCAAGCACTACACAAGCATGGTGGAATGCTATGTTAGTCACCACAATCACATACTCCAGGAATGCAAATATTGTGTACACTAGAAGAATAAGGAACAGAAATCTTAAAGAAGAATTAATCAAAATGATAAGAAAAGATGTTGAAAGTGGACCTTTAGCATTGAAAGATTTTATGCATTAATGCATTGTGTTTTGCCTATTTGCCTCTGTAATTAGGTACAGTACGTTTAAAGAAATGCTTTTGCTGATTGCTATTTTTATTGATGAAATGAGGTTGTTACTTTTTATTACCCTTTTGATGTTTTTAAACAGGGTACATAATGTTTCAGCAAGCTGTTGACTGCACAAAACATTTTAGTCCTTCATTCTGAGAGTAAAAGCTTGGATTGCAATCCATCCGCTAAATCACCCCCTCTGTGGTCCCCAAATTAAGAGGTCAACACAATGACTTTCAGTTGGTAATAAGGATAGTTTACATAGGGGAGGGGTGCCTGAGGGGTGTGCAATGAAACATATACTTTCTGATATGAAAACTAAACTCTAAATCAACTGGACATGGCCCAACTTAGAAAACTTACCTCCTGGTTCACATTTACTATTATGTCTGATGAAGAAATATACAGACGCCAGGAAAGATAAGATGTTCACCAAGAACAGTATTGTTTTATACTTCTGTGATCTTCTATCCTGAAAATCAAACATGAATGCATTATGTACATAGGTTTTACAAGGATTTAATCATGAGTATAAAATCATCTTGGATATGGCTCCTTTATAGGAAACTTAATTCAACAAAAGCAGTAAAAGTTTCTGCACTGTGACCTCAATACCATAACACAATCATATTCTTATCAATTTCGCTTTTTCCACTGTTTGTCTCTAAATAACACGCTGAATAACACATCATCAAGTTACTGTCTAGATTTCACTTCTGATAGTTTCCCACAACATTAGTTACTACATAGGTTGTAAAATATTTTACATAAAAGGTCTAAAGATGGCTCTGATTAAAAAGAGGTCTAAATAAGACTTTAGGTTTTTCTTGCAATAGGCATTCTTTTGAGTGCTGGAGAGCAAGCTTTTCAGTAAACATAAAAAGTCAACATCTAGTTATCTTGCTGCAAAAGGCCTATTGCAAGATGAAATTAACTACAAAGTAATCAGCTGACCAGTGGTCAACAGAGACAGGCACTTTTTTATCATCCCCTTCTATTCCAAAATACCTTTGTTTTTATCAATCACACAGAAGTTGGAACATACAGGTACTCTTTTACTTTTTATATGTACAAGCCCTTACCTTGTGATTCTCAGGCTTATCCTGGTTACACCACCTCATTAGAATACACATGATAAGCATGAAGAGTAAGGAAAACACCATGAAGGAAATAAACAAGTTTTCATGGAGTCCTAAAATGAAAATAGTAAACAAAAACCTCCTAATATCTGGTCATCTATCCTTTTCATCAATAGCTCACATTATATTTCGTACTTCAGCATCAATCAAATTAGCACTGATATAATTAACCAATGTCAACTGCACTATGACAAAATTAAATAAACTAAATGTCCAGCTTATTACTTTCTTAATGAAAAGACTTAGTTTACTTTTAAATTTGGTTGACTTTATGTGATAAAACTAATAACTTAATAAAACCAATAATAAAAAAAATCAGATTGGTGATTCTTTTTTTTTTAAAGATAAAAATATTCAATTGAAAACATTTCCCTATGCCATTAAAAGTGATATTTGAATGAAAGTTAAAACTATAGCAGACACAGACTGTAACTGAATCCTGTTATATTATTATGTATTTATGTATTAATTGCTATTCGATCAATTTACAATATATGGATCACAAACCCAGTCCAGACCATTTTCTGTCTGTTACCTCTGTTCTCTGAGGATGAGATGAAGGTCAGCCCAACCAGAGAACTGATTTCTATCACATGTGACAAACATGCTGTCCATAGCATCAAGGTAAATGCAAACTTCTGTTTCACATTGTCCATAGAGTTTTGGAAATATCTATAATACATGAAAGGCATCATGTAACGTGGAGCACAGTGTAAACCAATACAGATTCTCCAGATGTATTTTTCAGGGGTAAAGCCTCCAATTGCAGCACTGATCGATGGGAGGTAATTTCGAACCTAAAAAGACAAGCCAGGCATGTAAAAAATCTACCACTGAATTAAGAGCAGAATAATGAGACCTTTAACTGTTAAATCAACATGAATCTTAACATCTAAATAAATATTTTGACTGAAATTTAGAATACTGGTATGAGTACAGGATCACTAAAAGCAACTAGAAGCTTTGGCAGAAAAATTAATGTCTATGATAATCCTTCAGTCAGAATAATCACAAAATCTAAAATATAACATGAAATCAAATAGCTGTCACCGTGGTCAACACTATACAGTACCCCCCCCCCCCCCAACACACACAAAACATTATAATTCAAATCCAAATAGGAGTGGAAACTACAGTATACAAAAAACCCTCCCCCGAACGAACACACCAGGTGAAATTGTACACAGATTTTCCTGCTCTCAAAAGGTTGGAAGGTCTGCTGTTAGAGTCAGTTTACTGTCTGCAGCGCACGTCGCTGATGTCATTTCACTTGTTGTAATCACTGTCAGTGATAGCCATAGTCATTTAAAGAATCTTACCCCGCAGTGAGTGGCTGTTGCCCCTTCAAAATGTAAGTAAAGGCTGGTCCCAACGCAGGCTAGAAAACCGAAGAGAGGCAGTGAGCAGCAGATGCACGAGAGCCTCTGCATTGATATTCGAAACACGACCTCATCTTCTTTTCTTTTTGTACTTGATGACATTGTTAACCTTCTTGAAATTGGTTACACCAGTTAAAATAGGCAATAGTATTGTAAAATATTGAATGAATTATGTCTTAAATCTGCCGGCTGAATCCCACGGAATAGTCACAACACGCATGCGCATCAGTGAATTCTGGGATAATTTTCAGCATGGCGGATGAGGAAGAAAAAAAATATCGTCTTATGTATTTTTACCTGGAATGCACGATAGCACGACATCGAAAAGACAATTCTTTAATAGCTTTGTGAGCTTTGGTTTGTCTTCACGTGTTTGGATATAAATGCAGATTTTCATGATAACGGTATTCAAAATATATTGCGAAAAGAAAACGTAAGCAACGTAAACAAATTCGGATCATGGCCACGCAGACAAAACTGAGCGCACAGGAGCGAAAGGACTTGGATCGTTTCACAAAGTTTTTCGTTTATAAGGCTGTACAAATAATAGTTCAGTCCAGGCTTGGGGAAAAAGTGCGAACTTCATCAAAACCAGCTTCAACGGGAGCAGATTGGGTAAGAGCAGAGGGCAATATTTCATACTTGTTTACCTCTTTTGACACGGAATTCGATAGCTGTGGCAGGGTGCTTCGTAAACAAAGCACTTAATCGCACGTGCATGGTTTAACGACGATCTTCACCTAAAAATCGTGCCCTTGACCCGTGCCCTTGAACCAGCAATCAGATGAGTGTATAGAGTATAGCTGACTCATGAATATCATGTCCAGATGTGTTTTCTAGGATCGAAAAGTAAAACAGAGAAAGAAATGTCTTCATTGCACTGCATTTGTGTCTGTTTATTATTTAATTCTCCTCGCTTAAAAACTTTCTACCCCAACCAGGCATTAAAGGGAACATTGAGGACTATCAGCCCTTTTTATTCATTAGCTTTACTCTTTTGTGGATAACAAAAATTGGAATTTTTACAGAGGGTACAAACATTGTAGAATGAGCCTTACAACAATGCCACCACAATTTAGATAGGATTTTACAACATGCTTTCCAAAGAAAAAATCTAGACTAACATTGATGTAAGTTTGCCTTAAATTCCCAGAAGGACACAGAGTTAGAAAATCAATACTAATTTTGCTCACTATCACAGCTCGACAAAAATCAAATTGAACAATTGTTTGTAAGGAAGGCCTGTGAACCCACCTTAGTGGCAAGCTCTCAATTTTCAGAAAAGACTTCTTTCTTTTTGAGTATACCATCAGAAATGCTTGCCAAACAAAGAATATAATTATATTGCACAAAAAGGATTACTAAAGATTGGGTGTTTGCAGGGAGATTCATATGAAACAAGTCGATACTTTTGATAATTACTCAAAATGACAACATCTATTCCATACTTAGTAAATATTGAGAAAGAAAGTCAAAAGATTAGGAAAAAATGCATGGTGCTGGGATTGCAGTTTATAGAGTTATTTTTAAATAAATATTATATAATAATTTTGAATGTATTGTACATAGCTTAGTTTAAAATTGTTTCAAAGAGGCATTTTTTTCTGGCTATTTAGTTTTATTCCCCTTTGCCAAAGCTTTAAAAGTATTTAAAACAGGTTCTTTTTGTTCACATACTAGTATCCCCATTTTCAGTTAGGGACCAAATGTCTATAAATTTAAAGTCTAAATAATATTTGCCCCCTTTTTATACATAGAAAAATTTCAGGATGCATGTTTCAATTTTATTCCAGTGTAATTAAACTTCTCATTATAAAAAAATCTAAGGTTGCTTTGTTGTTAGAGAAAGATATCGGACAAAATATTTTCATTTTATTCCAGTTTAATCTGGCCATAAGGGACATCCAGGAGGTGCAAAATGAGACCAAGAAGGTTGTATCAGGCCAGCAGCTGACAGTAGGAAGTCACATATGTGTAGAAGTATCCTTAAAGACAGCAGAAGGTGACAGCATGATACTAGAGACATGGCACATAGGGATGACCGAACAAACAGATCCTAATGTCAAGGTGTCCTATTCTGTGTACAACCGTATGGGCATCCTGCTCAAATCCCTGTTCTGTGTCACACGGGTCACACCAGCCTATAGGCTGTCAAGGCGGCAGGGGCCTGACAACTACGTGATATGTTATCGAGTTTACCAGGGGGAGCCTCAGGTCTATGCCTTGGGAGACGGGTATCAGAAAATGAAAGTTGGAAGTGTAGGGACTCCGACAGGGACAATTGCACTGGGTGGGGCCTACAGGGTAAAGATGCTGATTTCACCCCACTCCAGCTGTAAGGACTTGGCCACAGAGCTGAAAGATGATCACTTCAAGTCTGACACAAGCCCAAAGAGGGTTGCTACACCCAAACCTTGCTATCAAGGATATAAGTCACACAGGTAAATACTGTTTGTTGTTGGTGTTATCTTAAAGCAATCTAAATTAAGATATGGTTGTGGTCATGTTGTTTTAAGGGTGAAAATCTTGGTCAGCAGTTTTACCTAGATGTAAATTATTTTTCAAAATTAAAGCTCAGAAGAAGGAGTGGATGAAGAGTTAAATCGGAAAATCCCTACACACTTGTCAATTCTTGAAAAAAATAAAAGAAAATGGAGTCGCCCAGCCTTTATGGTGATAATCAGATCTTGACAATAGTGACATAGGTGAACTCCTTGCTACATGTTTGCTGTGTATCACATTTTAGGTCATCAACAGAAGACATTGCTCCCAGCACATCAGACTCTCAAGAACTATGTGCCACTACCTTCTCCACTAGTCCTGCAGATCCTCTGTACTCCCCCTCAGCCCAGCAGGACCTCAACTCGCCTCCCAGGTCACACCCCATCAAAATACAGAAGAAGCTCTCATTTGAAAACAAGAATGAGGTGTTCAAGCCACAGAGGTATGGTTTTAGGTTCAAACATATATCTTATTTACTTTATAAGTGCCTTTGTTTCCTTACTGCAAATTCTTTGTCATGCGTTTGTGAGATACTAGTATAATATTATGAATGATTTTGGTTATTTCTGTCTTGAAAGCATTATGAAATTGTACTGGTATGTACTTTAGCTGAATGTATTTTACATCTTGCCAAGTTGTAACCTTAGCAGAATGACATTCACAATAGTTATCTTGTGATCTATGAATGATATCTCATAGATTTTAAATTTATGCCTTGGAAAAATAAACTAAGACAGCATTTTCCTTAATCACTGCAGTGCTCCAGAGAAGATCATCTCTCTAACCCAGGACCACAAACTGGGGGCTTTTGCTCCATCAAAACCACCGGAACAGAAATCTGTGGATGATCTACCTTTTGTCACCCTTCTTCTCCACAACGAAGGTGACAGCACCGACAACGACAACACAGCCTCCAGTACCAGTAACAAGGACAACTCTGATATGACTGACAATGTGATGGGATCCACTGGCAGTGGGACCTCAAATAAAAGCATCAGCAGTGGGGCATCCTGCTCTGAAGACTTTGTGTTGGTGGAACTGGTAGGTTTTCAATGTATCTGTTGCTTTTAGTTGGCTTTGTGTTACAGTTGAAACAGTGGAGGTTCTAAGGATGATAGGGGACACAAAATGCAAATTCCAAGTGAAGCAAGATGAAATGTTTGTGTTTTCCTGGTCCATGTCTGGGAAAAACTGAGGTGTGCTGATCAAAATTCTCAGACAGATCACAACAAGTTGTCCTACGGTTTTGCTTGTGGTGGAATAAGTGAAGGTATTTTTGATTTTCCACATGTTGGAAAAATTCATGATGTTGGTGGTGACATCTTGTTAGTGAAAAAGTTGTCCATAAGATAAAACTTCTTTGTATTCTATATTCACAGGAACACATTATTACTGGTACCAGATTTTCCAAGTAAAAGAAAAGTGAAAGAGAAGAAAGACAAGAAGGATCAACAATAATAAGTTGCTTAATATGTTGTATACTTTCTTTCAGAAAACTCCATTTGCTGCTGCCGATTCAAACACAGACCTAGGGAAGTTTGTGCGTGACTGTCAAGCACCGCCATTGTTGTCAATGTTTGAAGAACAGCCAACAGTTGAGGAAACTCTGGATCAAATCACACAGCAGCTGGCCATGTTTGAGTCCACCATGCCAGAATTTGATGACTTTGTCAACTCATTACAGACAACAGAGGCATAAATGTGCACTGAAGTTGTCATACTCTACAAGGCACTGGTTGGGATGTACTTGGGAAATAAAAAACAATCTACTCTGACAAACAAAGTGGCTTCTTAACTGTAAGTCTGCCTTGCCAGAATTTGGCAGTTTTATTTTGCTGTTTTCAACTAGCTTCCTTTAAATGAACATCAGTGACTTTCAGAGATGTATCTCAAATCTGCCAAATGTTACAAAATCATGATATAAGACAAGTTGTTGATGACTTATTATTATTGAAGTGGAATCAATACCATGCATGGAAACAGATTTTTCACATTGTATATAAATATATATATATGTCACACTATACAGATTACGTGTATGTATGCTTGCTCATGTAAAATGGTAAAGGTATTTGATACACTGCCGACACATTGTTTGATATATGTTTGAGACATTTTTGTGAATATCTCGAGTAGGTCAATGTAACATGTTGATGAATGTGTGGAAAGTACTAGACATGTTTTTAGGCAGCAGCAGGAGGTAATTCCAGAGGGCACTATTAGTGAAGTCTCTCTTTTTAATTTAAAGTTTTTATTTTAATGTTGCATGAATAGTATGTATGTTTGTGATTACAAATGTGCCCTTGTGGCAGCAACTATAGAGTCATTGCTCAGGTTTGTATTTGAGATCAGTTTTTGAAGTAAGCTCATATCTAAATGCTGTCGAGTATGCACACAAGAAAGAAAATAAGGAATCAAAGTAGAATGCAAAGGATGTACAGAGAATCACTGGGAAGTTAAGATATGAAGGGATTCTGTAAAAAAATGTGAAACTTTTTTTATCATTTTTTAAAATTGTTTATTACTCCAGTTGAGACAACACACAGTCTCAAATTACTATTTTAAAATCCAGATTTATTCCCTTCAAATCCTGTTTTTCTTTTAGTTTTTTATACTTAGTCACTGCCCCAATACTTAATTATGCTCATTCTTCTGGCTGTGGGAGACATGATGCTTTAATTTGTCCTCTCTCTCAGTGGTAGTGTTTCTCTTTTTATTTAATTTTTTCTGTGATTTAGCAGTTTTACTCCATTTTAAGTTATCCCCTTCATTATGCCAACAGTAGGTATTGTACTCACAAAGTGTGCATTATATGAAGGTTACTTATTGTAACAGTAATGTGTTGGTATCAGTTGTTGTACATAAAAGTAATATGTGTCATTTTGTAAAAAAAAATACAATCCAAGCAGAACGGTTATAACTGTAATTGTTGATGGATTTTATCATGTGCCAAGAACCCCAGCCTTAAGATGAAAGAGATGCAACCAGACAAAGATGTCAATGTCTGACTATGTTCATGATAAGTGAAAGAAGGGAACTTTCAGATTAGATAAGGATTTTTGTTTGATTTGTTCATCCTGATTTGGTATCTGTAAAATGGACAAGAAGCTGTATGTAAAGAGCTACTGTGATACTCTCATTATGAACACAATATTTTTAATATTGTATAAGATTTCCACAGATGTTATTGTATGGATTTTTGAATCAAACAAAGCCAAATTATGTCTGCCTTGGGAGGACTATGCTAAATCAGGTGTTTTGTGGAGCAAAATTTGAAGACTGCTTTAATCTCATAGTTAAGCTGATGAGGCAAGTGATTGCAACATTGTTAAGTGTGATGTACTAGGTACCAAACCGGGTCCCATGTCATTTAACTTATAACTAATACACATTGTCAACAAACCATTTATGGATGATGTAATGATATCCAACTTCTTTGCAACTTTTAATGAAAAAATTGTATTTGAATGAATGTGTCAATGAAAGAAGAAATGTTAGTAACTTTTATGGATGTGAAAAGGTCTCAACCCAAAGGCTTGGGGGTTGTATACTGCAAACCATGCATGTTACATGTGTGCATGTAAATATGTACAGTGCTGCTATTGTTCTTGAGTAAATAAATGTCAAGAAGTAAACATTCTATTTCTGTTATTTTGTCCACGGTACTACATGCCCTTGCAAGTTTTCTGAGTGGACCAAAATGTCCACGACTAGATGTTTTATAATTAAAATATGTGGTGTAGTTTTAAAAAACCCAACTGGCTCTTTGGAAACTGTAGATGAATTTTGACTTCAAATGGCGAATCTCATTTAACAAGAATATTCATTGAAGCATGTTCAGTCAAAATCACCCCGAGTTTCAGAAGACAATTACTAATACCAGCATGCCTCCGCCATTTCCAACATGCTGATAGTAGAGAGAAGAATCTCCAGTGTACTGAAATCATGGCGAAAATATTAGCTTGAAATGGATTGTTGATATTGTTCATGAAGCTAATTTAAAAGAATAATAACAAGATGTTACTTAATATATTAAATCAAAGACTTCAAATTTGTTAATTTCATGTGGAATTATGAAAGTTCCTAGTATCTGGATGATTTCTTGATCAGAACACAAGTCTGAAAAAAACAACCAATACTGAACAAAATCCATTTATATTTCTTATAACAGAAGGTTGGGTGCTCTATTTGTCAAAATTACAAAATGAGTAATTAAATAAAGTCACATGATAGAAAACGGCAACTACATACTCTGTGAATGGGTAAAACTAGCATGTTATCATTAAACTTTTATATGCAGTTGTTAACTAATATTTCTCAGCCTACACTGAATAAATCTTCGTCAGATGTGCTACCTGAGTAATTGCAAGAAGTTGCAAACTACAGTTTTGGAAAATTAATTGAACACATCTCTGTGTTGACAGCTGTTGGTGGATGGAGACTCGTGCCAAAATTTCTTTCCAGGAATAGCAATTCTCTTAATTTTTTTACTTCATCTTCAGACTTGAACCATTTAAAAATTATATTTAAATTATTTCTTGCTTCAAAAACTCAAGCATTGTCTTATGATAATTAAATATTTCTTAGACAGGTATCTTTTGTGGAATTAAACATTTTATTGTTGCAAACTGGGATAAGATCATGTGCCAAGTGTCAACCTGGCTTTGGGGTGTACATTTTCACTGCCGCTTCTAACATTAGAGCTTGGCAACATACATTTTACCCATACATTTTTCGATGTCACAGTATAATCAATACAAGGGATATTCCTGATACTGATATACATTGAAAAAATAGTGCACTGAGGTAATTAGTTAACTTGACTTAATAGCTTATGTCATACTCAAAATGGGGTCCACACAATCCAAGGCTTAAAACAGTTATTTTATCAAATATCTAAGAATGTGTTAAGATTTGTTTACCATTCGTTAACATGGTTAATATACAGTATTATATCCCTAGTAGATGCCAAGGACCAGATTAATGAAAGCTCCAAATAGTGATGCAACATGTGGGATAAAAATGGCAACTTAAAATCAAAGTTTCAATAAATTAATAGAATCTGACTAAACCATAACAAAAACAGCCTGAGAACAAATCGCCTGGGTTACAGAATAGTTATTCTCTACTCTTTTCTAGAAGATATTATTCAATATTCTTGTCATGAAGACTACATGTGATTATTACATATATAAAAAATGCACCTGTCAGACTATTCTGATATTCAGGGGAAACTATGACTTAAAATTGATGGATTATTACCTACAACCATTCGCTTTACAGCTTTATTATGACTGACCTATTATTATTATCACCATCACAAATTAGTTTGATCCCTGTGGAGTGCAGATATATTGCATTTGCAAGTTTTCAACCCACATGACATTGGATAAAGCGAAATGATTGTTGCAGCAGTGCTTTCCTTTTTTTTGAATTCCACATAAAAAAATGTTTACATTCTACATACCATTTAAATAAGTGGAAACTATATAGCCAAAGTGACCATTCTGCTATGAGCCTTACATCACTTACAAAACATACTACACATTGGAGAACACTGTAAAAACACAGCAACAGTTACATCTACACCATATAAAATAAATTGTCCACAGGTCTTTAAAATACACAAATGGTCTGATATACAATTATCCTTGCAGTCTAACCTTTTATTAAAATTACTGTGTATTAAATATCATCATCTTAAGGCAAGAAAGTCTGCAGTTTACTTCTAAAACACAAAAAGGGGGTATCTTACGAGACAGGGTCTAAAAATGTGAGCAGGAAGGTGGTTTACAATAATAAATATTAATTTCTGAGTTTAATAACATCCCTTTATTATAATGATAAACTTTAATTTCCCCTTAACACCTACTAATAATCATTATTGCACTGTACAGCTAGATTCATAAATAAATATGATACTTTGCTTGGCATCCTAAATGTAGCATTGTTTCAGAGCAAACTCCATATTAACTGCACCCCCTGTGCAGATCTTAATACTGGCTCTAAAGATTGTCCTCTTGCACATGACATCAATGCTGTGCGTCCATTACCTAATTATGCCTTGTGCTGCACTTACAAGAAAAAAAGAAATCTAATATTTTTTTCTGGACAGATTTCCATGGCAATTTTCTCAGTCTAACAATCTGACATTTCTAAAATATCTTGTGCATTTTGGGCATATTTCAAACAATTTTGAACTTTATCTTCTTTAAATTAAAACAAAAGCCCTGGGACTTCTATAATAAAATGATATGAAACAACTATCTATTGAGGAAAACGCCACTGAAAGACAAATCTTAAATTCCACATGAAAAATTGAGAAAATTTGCCAAAAAAATTACATTCATAAATTCTGTAAAATTTTATTATAATTGAGCTCTATAAAACCCCTAATGAGCATACAAAATATCCAAAAATACTTGACCATCCAATACCCAAAATACACCAAGTGTTATTTACACTTATTGATACATGTTGCTAGTAAAAACATAGAAACTAATACACAGGTGAGACTTTCCCTCTCATTAAGGTTTTAACAAGGCAACTACAGATGACATTAGACTTCTTTTGGTACCAATGTTTTCACAGACCAGATTTCAATTTACTTGTATAGAAAACATCATCATGACTAGAGTGCCAATGGGATGTGCAATGTTACATGTGCTAGTCGATTTTTATGTTCCTAGTATCAATGGCTTATGAACCCTTATTTTCACCCTGTTTCGCTACTCCTCTGATACTGGCAATTTGGACATGTATGCTAGGCACAACTAAGGCAACTGATCAGTGAGACTTGATGTGGTTATTGGTAACATGGGGAGGACTGAAGACTCCATTCACCCAGTGGGAGTCTTTAAACTCCCATATTGCAGTCACATGATAGGCCATGTTGATATAGGCGATGAAAAACTCGGACAATGAAAACCAGCTGAATGCTGAAAAGACAAGAAACAAAATGGTAATAAAGGTAATAAATTTTGTTAAATGCTTGAAGGACTAAAACCATGGTATGCTGTATTTGATAAAATGAAAAATTCTGTATTAATTTGATTTCAGAACTGGTTTTAGACTGGTCAAAATGGAAATGGTCTTATATCATCACATGAGCCAAACTAAATAGAAGTATTCTTTAATATTTAAAACTGCTGGATAACAAAAACAGTTGGCCACTTTGTGATGCTCATCACAAAACAAAAAGTCACCTATTATATTTGTAAATTTTTTTAAAGCAAAATGTCCCAAAAATGATGTCAGTGAAATTAAATGAAGCGATAAATATTGCTTTATATATTTTCTAAGCCCTCTTGTTTAACAGCAAGCTGGTCCTTAAGAAATGCCAGCAAAACATTGTGTGCAATGTTTTGCATCTGCCTTGAGCCACACATACCTCCAGGTATACAGAACAGCCTATGTTGAGCAAAGAAATACAGCAGCACTCCAGTGGATATCATGATGGCTATCCACAAATATTTTTTGAAAGCATATGATTTCAAGTCCTGAAAGATAAAAAGAGATTAAGTTAATGTTTTTCTTGTGTGTTTCTTGTTGTTGACTTCTTATATTTCTACTGCAATCGTGGTTATTCATCTTCATTTCTAAGTATTTATAACAAATATGTTACTGACTGAAGGCCAAGCAATTCTCTCTCTGTCCTTGTGTGTGTGTGTGTGTGTGTGTGTGT